AACGGCTATGAAACAAGTTAGAGTGGAGAAAATAGAGTAGGCTGGGAAAAAAAATGATTCGTTGGCAGACCTCAACAAAGTGTATTTCTCTTCAAAGAGTACGGTGACTGCCTTTTGACCGAAGGATATAGAGTAGGATTCCTTTTCTTCTTCAATAATGTTGCTACTTCATCTTCTTCTTCTTCTTCTTCAACTAAACTTTTCTTCTTCAACAGAGAGTGCTTCTTTGTTGAGAAATTAGCAGGATTCTGAGATGATGAAGAACCTTCAGCTCTGATACCGGTGATCGAACTCTGAGAAGAGAAGAGAAAGAAGAATTGATATTTCTGAGGGGTTCCGGTAATGGGTAAGTGGGTTTTCTCTTATTTTCGTTGTGTTTTCTCAAGGAGAATGATCCTCCTTATATAGGGGCTAAACCTATCATCTCTACCCCTCAGATCTGCCCCCATGAGAGATTTTCTCTCAACCACCCACGGTTTATGTTCTCCACCATTCTCTCAACAGAGAAACCGTGGTTGATTTGGTCATCAATGACAGAGTCAAGCTAACAAATTGCTTATTAAAGCATTAACAAAAAATATTTTATAGAATTTAAGAAATTAAAGAAAAAGTGACCATCATATTTTATTACACTTTTATATTCTCATTATGTATTTTATTTAAATAAATATATCAATAATAATATGTTTTTTCTTAAATTACAGGAAAAGAAAAATTGATGAATAAGAGCCCAAAAACTCCCCTATTTTTTTTACCATTTATTGAAGCTTAATATCAAGCCAAAAAGAAGGCCCACAAAAGTCCAAAGAATTAAAAAAATCAAGTCAACAAGTCAACTAAGGAATCAATTTTGTTAGGACCCAATTAGCTCACTAACCAATTGGCCAATCGGTCGACCAACCAATTGGCAACAGATTGGCAAACAAATTAGTTCATAATAGAAATAATAAACGTCTGAGATTTATTTCTTAGAGACTAAGGCTAATCCAATGGCTCTTGTTGATTATTGTAGGCTATAAATAAGGGTAGGATGCATGATGATGTTTGAGTGTAAAAAATTTGACAAAAACTTCATTAAAGAGGAAAATTACTCTTAATTGAGAAGACCTTTTTTTAAAATTATAAACTTTATTTCTAATTAATAAAAAAAACTTCTCTACCATTTAAATTTTCTTTAGTTCTTTTTTATTGATGGGGATGAAGATAAAGATTTGTTTTCAAGGGGCCAGCCCCTTATAATGTAAGTTTTTATTTTTTAATTTTCATATTTTGAAATTCACATCTTAGAATTTTATTTTATTTTATTTTTATGTTGGTAGATTAGATTTATTTTATTTCTTATAGTTTAGATATACTTTTATGCATTATTATTTTTGTTGTTTATTTTTATACTTTGTAAAATTTATTTTATTACAATTTTCTTTTGTAGTATAGATTTACTTTTATGTTATTTTATTTTTCCTTTATGTTTATAGTTTGGATTTTTTATTTCTTTGTTCTTATTCTTGTTCTTGTTTTTATAGTTAGTTTTATTGTTATTCTCTTCCTCTTATACTTTCTAGCCTAGATTTTATTTTATTATTTTTTTCAAAATATGCAATTAAATATTGCAGGAACTCTAGAATTATATAAAACTAGTTTGATTTCTTTTATGATTTGTGGATTGCTCTTTTTATGCTCAAAATGCTCATGTTTAGGATAATCAATAAGAGAACTAATTGATAAAAGAAGAATTTGATAATTTATACTTCTCTTAAGTTGATAGGTTATACTTATGAATACTAGAATTACTATCTAGTAGTTGTTTTTTTTCATAAATAAAACTTTCACTTGGATGATAATTTAATATATTATGCTTTCTTTACATGGTTTAAAAGTCCGTGCTTAATAAAAATAAAATAAAATGCGAGGAAAAAATAGAATGCATCATAACTCCTAAATGAATTAACTAATGGATTCAATTCTAAATTCTTATCTTCTTTGTTTGATTTCCTCCATATTTTACTTATTTTGATTTTTCCTCTATTTGGTTAAATTTTCTAGTCTTGATTTTATTCCTTGCTATTTTCTTTATTTCTCCTCATTGTATATTCTTTGTTTTCTTTTATTTATTCACTCTCTTTCTTCCTTCTTGTTCTAATTTTCTTTTATGAGTAACTAATCACATACTCTTTATATATTTTCACTTTCGCTCCTCTTTTCCACACTCAAATCTGGGATCCGATTTAGAATACTTCCTACAGTTTTTCCTTATGGTAAGGCTATAACTGTGCAATAAAAATAAGACAAGCAAATCACTTCAACTAAAAACAACTAATGTAAAGGAGATAGAGTTAGAAATGGTTATCCTTGTGACATGCGATGTGTTAACGAGGTTCGGTCCGCTGACCTACGTCCCCGCTCCTCACTCTCGAGGAGAAATCCACTACACAACCCGGTTTGAAAGCCGGAACTTCTTCTACACAACGATCTCTTCACGATCTCACAACTACACAGTTGATCTCCACTGGATCACACTCCCACACAATTGATCTTCACAAGATCACAGTTGATCTCCACTGGATCACACTCCCACACAATTGATCTTCACAAGATCAAGCTCTCAAACAGTAGTAATGGTGTAAAAGCTCTACACAATTGATCTTCACAAGATCAAGCTCTCAAACAGTAGTAATGGTGTAAAAGCTCTCTCTTTACAAGTTCCTATGGCAAAGAGAAAGATTAAACTGAAGCTGGGATGTGAACTTGAGAAAAACATAGAAAACAAGTTTTGAAAATTTTGGCTCTCAGTAAAACTGAAACTCTGGTTTTTCAAAACCTTGGGATAATGAGGAAGAATGAGTGTATGAGTTTAAATAGAAGAGAAACAACTGTTTGAAACCCATACCCTAATCCCCAAAAATCTAGAAACAATCGGCGCTGAAATCAGCACAAAAGACCGTTTGAAAATAAGCGGCGGTCGATCGTACGATTCCTCGAAACTGAGAAAAAGTCCAGAGACTTCTACGGTCGACCTCGGCGGTCGATCATGGGAAATCTCGAGCTCACGGTCGACCGCGACGGTCGACCGTGAAAGTCTCTGCTACCCACTGACGAATGAACTCAGGCGCGATCGACCGTAGCGGTCGACCGCAAACTGATACATTCAAAATATTGTTTTTGACTCACTTAAAAAAATCTGTAAAATGTTCATTTGACTTCCAAAAATTTGTGGAACTTTGTAAAATATTTTTAACACTAAAAACAAATTGTTTGAAAAAAGAATTTTGCTAATAGGTCCTCATACTTGTGAAAAATAGTATTTTGTGAAAAACGCTCAAAACTATATGTATGAAAACGTGTGTGTGATATCCCAATAGCTTCAGATGAAATCTAAACTATTTGCTTACATTTTAGCACTAGAGAGAAAATAAAAACTAGCTAATATCCTCACGTAGAATACAATTCTTTGAGTCTTGATATAGCTTGAGTTTGATGAAGTTTCTTATTGCATTTGGTGTTCTTGAATGAACGTTGCTTCATCACTATGCCTCCTCCTCCTTTGAATATCATCGTTGTAGCACATATTCCATCCAATCCTCCATTTTTGGCACTAACATGCTTGATATATATAATGACTACATTTTCATTCAACAAGCAATTAGTACCGATAATGGTGGTTGTAAAACATCATCAAAACATAAGGGATAAATGGAAAGTAAATAAGGATAAAATTTATATATTACACGAATGAATGTTTTGTTTTCTTTAGAATCAATTATGTAAAAACTCTACATTTTTTTCCGAATGCTATGAATTTCTTTTTTCTTCTTTGATTCACCTCCTCCGCATCCCTCTTTCCATAAAACAAAGTCAGAATATAAAAAATATGCCTACATGCAAAGCGCGTGCACTATGCTACTGTAACAAAGTTCACCGAAGTGTTAAACGATACCCGAAGTCCGTAAAAGAAAATCTTTTCTTTTAGACCATTGAAACCACTCTATCAGACCGCTTCCGCTTTATGCCATACCACGACAACATATTAAAAGGCATTTTTGGATTTCATTGAGGGCAAGGGAAGTTAAGGGCTTGTTTGGATTGAGGGGAATAAGGGAGAAGGGAAGTTAGGGGAACCATTCACCTTGTTTGTGAAATATTTAGGAGGTGAAGTTATTCACCCTAGTTCTCCTTGGTTCACCCCCTAATAGTATAAAATTTGTTACTCCCTAAATTGGGGTGTAACCAAGGGAAAGTGAACTCCCTTCCCTTCTCTTCCCTTCCCTTCCCTTACATTCTCTCACATAGTTTCTCTTAACTTCCCTTAGGGCCTGTTTGGATTGAGGGGAATGAGGATGAAGGGAAGTTAGGGGAACCATTCACCTCCATTCACCTTGTTTGGGAACACTTAGGAGGTGAAGTTAATTCACCTCCATTCACATTGGTTCACCCCCTAATAGTATAAAAATTGTTACCCCCCAAATTGGGGTGTAACCAAGGGGAAGGGAATTCCCTTCCCTTCCCTTCCTTTCCCTTCCATTCCCTTCACTTAGTTTCCCTTAACTTCCTTTCACCCCCTACAAATCCAAACAGGCCCTTAATCCATTGAAATCCAAACACACCCTAAGCAAAAATAGGGAAGAGAAGATATAAGAGAAGTTCCATTCCCCTCCATTATACCCTGATTTAGAGGAAATAATTTTTATATTGTTGGAGGTAAACTAAAGTGAACTAGAAAATTTTTAAAGCTATTCGAACAAGATTAAGCTATTCAAACAAGGTCAATATCTACCCTGTCTGTCTTCCTTGCTCCGTTGCGCCGTTGTGGTTCCTCTGTTAACGAAAGAAAAAAGATAAATTTTCGTGCTTCTCCATCAAATATCAAATATCAAAAAAAAAAAAAAAAAAAAAAAAAAAACGCTGCTTCGGATGCACACCTCTGCCGCACCCGTGCAATATCGAGTCCAGACCCGTACGTTGGACCGGCCCTTTAGCGTCGGGCCATCGTCTCCTGGGGCTTAAAACTTCCGCACGCCCCAAAACGTTTCTTCGGATCTCAAGCAAACCGCCACGGTCTCCTCTCCTCCTTCCTTCCTTCCTTCCCCGTTATATTCCCGTTGCTCTCCTTTACAAATCCCCCATTCCCAATTTCTAGGGTTTCATTGATTTTCCCTTCTGAAGAATTTCAATGGGGAGCAGCGAAGAGAGAATCGTTGCTGTCATCATGGTCGGCGGACCAACTAAAGGTCTTTACTCTCTCCCGATCTCCACTCAAAATTTGATTTTGTGGTGATTTATTGGCGAAATTATGTTTTTTTGGTTGTCGTTGCAGGGACTCGATTTAGGCCGCTGTCCTTGAACACTCCGAAGCCTCTGATTCCGTTGGCTGGGATGCCGATGGTTCATCACCCACTTTCTGCTTGCCGAAGTGTTAGTTTTCTGATTTTTAATCGTTTTTAATGTTTTTCGGGTTCGATTTCATTGGGGGTGGTGTTTGATGATTTATCTTTGGAGGTTGTAGATCCCCAATTTAGCTCAGATTTATCTGATTGGGTTTTACGAGGATCGTGAGTTCGCAATGTATGTGTCTTCGATTTCCCATGAGCTCAGAGTACCTGTTAGGTTGGTAAACTTCTTGAGTAAGTTTGGGGAGTTATTTATTTTCTATTTGTAATGTAGTTTAACTAAGGTGAATTTTGTTTTAGATACCTGAAAGAAGAGAAGCCGCACGGATCGGCTGGAGGGCTCTACAGCTTTAGGGATTATATCATGGAAGACAATCCGGTTTGTGCTCTTGGGTGACGATTATACTGTTCTTATTGTTTAAAATTGCAACACTTTCAGTGATGTGGTAGCGGTCATTTTGCTGGGTTTGATGAAGTGGAAGCACATAGTTTCTGATTTTCTCTGTTCTTTCTATTTGCAGTCTCATATATTTCTGCTGAATTGTGATGTTTGCTGTAGTTTCCCATTGCCAGAGATGCTTGGTGAGCTCCACTTTTGAACGCAGTGAACTATCATCTGATTGTCTAATAGTTTTCAATTTAACTGGCCAATGGCACTAGTACATGCAATTACCTTGAGCAAGTTTTAATACAACGAAACCCCATTCCAATTTTATGTTAGACTAATATATACATCTCTTTACCTCCAGTTTCCATTAGAAGTCTTACTCATATTTTGTTCTCAATGGCCAAGAGTATATACTATGTACTGCAGACTATAGTAGTTAGAGTCAGCAAGGGTTTTCTTTTTGCCGGGGACTAGTTAACTATTTCTATTAAGTGCAAAAGAGGTCATACCTACTGAGTACTGACACTTGGAACTCCTATCTCATAGGTACTACATACTACTTGCTACCAACTTGCAAATTTTCTCTCCTAAAGTCCTTTTAGTTGAACCTACGTGGAATTATAGTCTTTCATCTCCTGGATTTCCAGCACTATCCCTCATATTGAACCATAACATGCTTTCTCCATAATACGACGTCCGGAAGGTTATTTTTATTTTTACAATTAAGTGTGTCATCTTTGCAATGCTAATTTATGTATCCCTTTTGATCTTTCAGTCATCAAAAGTTAAAAGAATGGAAAAGAATTGTACATATTCAAAAGGAGATATTATTAATTATTATTATTATTATTACCAGCACTACTAAATTTGTTTATTAACAGCTATTCATTTCCTGTCTGAAGACTTAATAAATGGTGTTTATTTCGCTGGGCTAGTTTAACTTTGATGGAACGCCTTCAAAATACACAAGTTAATGTCCTATAAGTGAGACGTAGTTACAGGTATAACTCCAATTTCAACAAGCATCTATCCCATAGGCAGAACATTTGCTCCTATCAAAGAGCTCCTGACCAAAGCATCTACTCATGCTTTGTACATAATTCTGGGAAGTTCTATTTTAGCAACTCATGCTATGTATTGTAGGATGGTTCTGTCTCTGCACCATGCTTTTAGGATTCTTTTTTATTCTTTTTCTGCCGTGAGATGTTTCTAGGCCTTTTAATTTTCTCATAATTAGTTGTTGCAGCAATTTTGTCCATTTTTTTCAATAAATATACTTGCCCTTATATTTCCCTGGAACTAAATAACACGAATTATGCTAAAATAAGATACCCATGAATTATTTTCCTATATGCATAGAATATATCTTGTTTAATTATAGACACCACTGCTTTCCATCTCATTATCCTGAATCCTTGGGTCTAATAGCTTCTCATGCGATTTTTACGATCATATCTGAAACCTTTGGTCACTTGAATATCTCTTTCCTTATCTTTTGGCACAATTTATTGGATTCATAAAACTCATGATGTTTTACTTCTTTAGTTAATTGAACTATAACATCTATGCTCTCCTTTAGAGGCTTCTTTTTTTAGTTTCCTTGTCAACTTATTTTTCCTTTCAATTACCTTTGTCGCAGAGGCCCATAAAACTTATGGTGGAATGGGAACAATGTTGGTAATTAAGGTATGGAAGCAGTCAAGGAAACCGGTTTAATCATTTTCTGTTCTGTTCTTTCCTTTTTTCACTAGTCTTTATCTTTATTCATGAACTTCATATTTGAAACTTGTTGTCTCTACATAATCTTGTCATTTTTGTTCTTCTGTTGACAGGTTTCTGCTGAATTAGCAAGTCAGTTTGGCGAGTTGGTGGCTGATCCTGTTACAAAAGAATTGTTGCATTACACAGAAAAGCCTGAAACTTTTGTAAGCACTAGGTCTCAGTTTTCTTCTTGATTTTCGCAGTTCATACTCTTATATGGGCCTTAAGCGTCTGTCTTTTTCTGTATAGCATATTTGGATCTTTTGCATGTGCCATGTGAGTGACAGATTTTGTTAAACATATCGTTTCATCTGCACTTTTATTGTTTATATATGTAGGTAAGTGATCTCATAAACTGTGGGGTGTATATATTTACACCTGATATCTTTACGGCCATCCAGGATGCTTTCATACAGAGGAAAGATAGAGGTATATATAGCCTAGTAAATTTCCCACAATTTCTAGAGTTGCAATAGTTTCCTAATTTGGTATATGAACCATCCGTCGACTCCATATTCTGCAATAATCTGCTACTATGTTCTGAATGTTAGTTTAATTCTTCGTGTTGAAGTTTTCCATCTAAAATTTGTGATTTGCTGGACTTTCCATATTTATCATGATGTCCAACATTAAATATGTAAAACACATGTTTACATTTGTGCAATATGAAATCTTGTAAACTTACTATATATCAGCGATACACCACAGCATAAATGGAATGTATGTGCACATTTGTTCAATATACATTCTTGTAAACTTATCATATATTAGTTATACTCCTCAGATACATAGACATGCACACACGTATGTGCACATTCACACTCTCACGTGTATACACATCTGTTTGCAGACAGCATTTGGAGTCACCATGAGGATAGATCTCATCCTCTTTGCCATCTTTTCGCTCAAATATGAAGAAGAATTATATGAGGAAGAATATACTTTGATCAAGGTTTTAAATGTCGACTGATATGTCGGTTTGAGGGCTTGAGCGACACGACATAGACGTTTTCAACTCGTATGTCGATTTTCAGGGGCAAATCGGAAATATCGGGGTCATTTCGGCCGATTTTTCAGCCTTGAAAAATCGACCGATATGACCCTTTTTTTAATCTATTTTTTGTTATCGGATTTGAGTTTAGTGATAAAAACCCAAACCCGTTTGACCCATTCTCATGTTTAAGGGTTTCTTATGAACCCGATAGAAAGAAAAGAGAAAAATTAGGGCTACAGCGGACTTAGGAACCGATCACTCCTTTCGTGAACGACCGATAGAAAGAAAAGAGAAAAATTAGGGCTACAGCGGACTTAGGAACCGATCACTCCTTTCGTGAACGACAACACCTTTCCCCCACCTCTACCTCGGCCCTTCGTCGTCCATCTCCCATTGCGCTCCGAATCCGAACCCTAACCGAACCCTAGGACGACAGAGTATCTCGTTGTCGGGATAAAGGGAAGAGGGTGGTCGGTGACTCATTCGAAGGACCTCGAGCAGACAAAGAAGAAGAAAGAGCCCGGACACTGTCTCCCTGTGACCTCTCGTCGCCAGCACTGTCTCCTTGCGACGTCGGAATCCACCCATCGCCGGCGCCGCCTCTAGAATTTATAAAGTATGTTTATATTAAATTTAAGAATGCTTAGATTACATTTAGGATATGATATTATACATATGCGCACCACCAGATATGACAATCCAATATTTAGTTCATGTCCCCCGATATATCTCCGATTTCTTCTATCCGATATGGATTCCAGCTGTCCGACATGAACCCGACATCCGACATTTAAAACCTTGACTTTGATTGCAATTTGCATGTAAATGTTCTGATACATGTATTTGCTCATTCTACCTTATGCTTCAGCTTTTCAAGTCTAGAGCTAGTATAACATCTGTTAACTAATTAGTTCAAGGTTAGATCTATACATATGAAATTATCTTTTCATTCAAGCGCCATAAGCAATTATCTTTTCATTCAAACGCCATAAGCAACCTTCTACCCGTACACACAAAAACTTAAGTTTTTCTTTTTTTTCCTTTTGACGATCGAGTATATTTGCCATGCTGTATTTTGACATTTTTTCTATGACATAACATAGACTTGGTCATTTTATTTAATTTTTCACGGTGCATGCTTTATGTTTCTTTATGCCCATACAGCTCAGTTTGAAAGGTATAGGACTGTAGAAGAAATAGGGAAAATATGCATTTTGTTAGGTTATGCAAATAGGAAATAATGCAAGTGAAATAAGGTACAAGATTAGGAAGGAAGAGAAACAAATTTCTGAAAGGGAGACGAAAAACCTTTGCAAGCTTAGGCTAGTGGGATCAGCTTAAGTTAACATGAGAGGCATGCGATATCTAGGGCATTGTTTCTCTAATGTTGTCTTGCGAGGATCACCAATCGGTGTAACTTTTTCAATGATGAGCTTTAACGTTTTTATAATTTCGTAAGGGCAAATCTATTGCACCATTTCTTCGTCTAGAAAGAAGTGTTTGTAAAACATTCAATATCATGAGAAGTAATTAAATAAGTGAAATGATTTTTCTTAGGCTTTAGCAGTAGTTTAGTGGCAAAAAGTGGAAAAACACTGAAGGAATCTTTAAATAAGTTAAAAAGGTTAAATAACAAAATGAAAAAGAAATTGAAAATTACATTTTTAGGAAAATCTAAAATAGAAGGCTGAGTTTTTATGGTTCACAATTATTAAGGGACAAATAATATAATTGAATGATCTTAAAGACAAATATAACAAAACCTCATCAATGTGTAAGAAGACAATCCTAGAAACTAACGACAACCATGCAGTTAATCAGAAGTTATTCTAGGGTTTTAGAACACGATCTTATTATGAGTGCGGTCCGAGAGCGAGTAGCATTTAATCGTATTATGCGCTGATTAATTAAATTATGCAGAATTACAGAGATTTGAATTTTTTAACATATAGATTGATAGTCATATATTAAAAAATATAAAAAATCATGTAAAACAGAAAATAAGACAAAAAAAGGACTAGTAAACGTGCAATTTCGCATGTTTGGTATGTTTTGAAGCTGCACACGAGTACTCGACCTAATAATTGGCCAAGTAATCCGTGTTTTTGAACAGTGTTATTTAATACCTCAACATAACGTACAATGTTTGACCATTATGAGGATGTAGATGTATGTAAATATCAAAGCATGTTATATGCAAAACATAAGCATGGGAATACAAAGGAAAAGAAGTGTTACAGCAACAACATTGATGATTTAAAAAATAACAGTAAATGTTTTGAATGAATTATTATTTAGATGCAGTCAATTCATCCAAGCCTCTTAAACAGGTAAAATTCTATCATTCAACAAGTATAAAGAGTGAAGATAGCAATGAATTTCAATACAATAAATAGCCATGAATTGCAATACAATAGTATACTATATGAAAATTTAAGACATTTTGCAACATATGGGTGAGAGTTTTGCATGAGAATTATTAAGTAAATAAGAAATGGTCTTTTAAAGACTTGTGAGAACTTGTGGTTGTCACATTATATACCGCAGAAGACCATAGAGGTGGTAAATTTGAGAATATACCTTTTTGAGACCAAAGTTGCTTTTGATCAATTTGAGATAGCCATAGGAAAATAAGCCCTTCCTACTTTAGCATGACAAAACGGGGGGAAACAGGCCAAAATAAGTATTTCATTTGAAGTGCATTAGGGTTTTCCTCACAAGTTTTGGCTGAAGCGAAGCAGCATCTGACTTTTTTCAGCTAAGGCATGTCTTTTCTGAGGATCTTTACAAAGATAGAAATATTATTTTGCATTAACAAGTTAGAATTTAAGTTAGAATTCATTCTTGATAAGTTTTCCTTGATCAACTTGATTACAGGACTCAAACATTACTTGACCTGCATAGGACTAAAAGTCAATATGGCAGCCGATAAATTAAAACATGGATCCTCTTTGGACGCTCATGTTTTTTTGTTTTATGGGATGACAATATTCTTCTGAATGCACTGTGGTATCTATTAATTGTTAAATTACAAGTCGAGCAAGAAAAGATGGATGCATAACTAGTCATGACACAACCAGACATGAGTTGCCATGCTAACGAACATGAATTTCCAAAAGTTTGCTGCATTATGTGACCTACAATTTTGTAGCATCTTTCCTTGAGCAAAAAACTCTCTATCATTTTCTAAAAGGTAAAAAGTAAAGAAATTTAGCTGTCTTCCTGGTCTCTCTTTTTTGTTCTTTCTAAATCCTTTATTATTTTTGAGTATCTTTCAAATCCTTCTTTATAAGTTGCTTAAGTTTGAGCTATTTATATGGAACTTGTAAGCAAGCACAATGTTAGAGAATGCGCTAGGCGGACTAAGTATTTCAGCCAGCGCTTAGATGCCTAGGCATTTGGTTATTTTTAAAGTTATTTAATTATAATAATTGATAAAAATATGTGTAAATTTATATAAATTTGTAAAAAAATAGCAATCTTAGATCCACAATAAACCATACATAGTTAAATACTAAATAACTAAAATAATAACTAACAATGTTATAGAAAGCATTAGGAGGCCTAGGCGTTGGACTCGACGCCTAGAGCCTAGGGGTTTTTTTTATTTTTTAATTATAGTAATTGATAATAAATGTCAATGTTATAGAAGGCTTAGGTGTCAGACTGATATCTAGGTGAATTTTTGTTTTCATTTAAGTGGCGGTCGAGGAAGTTTTGCTGAAGATCGGAGGAGGTAGTGGAGGTGTTCATATTTGGAGGTTAAATGAGGTTGGAGAATGTAGAGGCTGCAAGCCTGCAACACAGAAAATTATGATCAGTGTCTAATGGATGTAGTCCACATAAGTAAATAATGCTCCATTAAACACTCCCAAAATCTAAGTGGGCAGCTTAGGTACTGCCTACGTGCTAGGCGCTAGTTAGACAGTCTAGGTACTGCCTAGGTCTAGGCGTACGTCTAGACGGACTAAGCGAAGGCTTTTTAAAACAGTGAGCAAGCAGAATAAGTTACTATGGATTTCCTCCTTCAAAAAAATGGTCAGATGAATTTATTCTATTTGTTACAACCTTCTTCCCAACAAAAATCATAGGATTTTGTGGAGTGGGTGGTTTCTATACGATATTCATGTTTGATAGTTGTAATGCTTGGTAGGCATTACCAACAATAAGTTGTGTCTATGTGCGTTAACCCGTGCATGCCATGTGAAGACATACTTGCAAACATATATTTGTGTGTATGTATGTATCTATACTTCTATACTACATATAAAAGAGAATTAGGGTACTAAAACTTTTGATTGCCCTTTTTACCCCTCTTAAATTTGATCATTCCAACTTTACTTTAATTATTTTATTTATTTAATTTATCTCAAACTCTAATTCAACGAGTCTTAAATTAAATTAAATTAATTGTAAATCATCATAATAATAAAATTTAATTAGTTTCTTAGGCCCTTAAAGATTCCATAACTTGTTTAATTAATTGCATGTGTTATGGATCCAATCAACTAACCATTCTTTCATTTTCCCTTTTGACCTCTTTTTCATCTCTATACTATAAATTACGGCTTATCCATTCTCTTCAACCCATCACTCACCTACTAAGATAAATTCCTACACCAACACAATGGTTTATGAAATATGTTATATGGAAAATTTGTCAAATGGTTTACAGTATATGTGGATTGTATATGTATGTGCATGTGCATACAATGGATAATATTTGTCAAATGATTTGTAGACTTAAAGATTTATTTTTTATAGAGTTGAAGACTATGTCTCATGTTCGATTCGTAGCTCTTGATTTATGTTTTGTATCTTGAATCCTTGCAAAAGAGAAGGATAATAGATTAGGAAGGTAATTATTTGGAAGTCTTGATATTTAAGAGTATGTATAAATTTGATTGGGAACCAAAGATTGTTTTCAGTGTGCATCTTTTTTTTTACTGTGGATCTGGTAGGATTCTTATTGATATTTTAATACTGAGAAAGAATGTATGATCTTTTTGTGCTATTTATAATAAGTTATGCTTTTTCTTTTGAATATAGGTCATAAGTTGTGCTTTCTTGTTTATTAGATATATTCATGGTTTAATTCTTAACTAATTACTCAGTTCATATGCACTTTAAGTTTAGAGGTGCTATCAACTTATCCAACAATTTCAATGTTTCTTACCCTTTTGATTTTCTTCCGTGTATTAAGCATTATTTTGTTCTTTGTTTTATAATTATATTGAATCATCAAACTTTGTTTGTCTTCTTTTTGATTAGTCACCAATAAGTCTTTTGTTCCTATCAACTTTAGACTACAAAGATTAATTAATAAAACATATTGGCTATCTATCTTCTATTCATTGAGTAAATTAGAATACACAAACCTATATATGAGATTGAATTGTAATTTTTTTTTGATTTCTGGTATAAAATACATATTAATTTGTCTCTTGATTGAGAATCTCTATCGGATTAAAAAGTTGACTTATATAATTCCCATTAGCTGAGCTATTCAAATGATATTTTTATATCGATTATGATTCCATCTTGCTATTATAGCTTTTGTAATTTTGCATCTAATAATAATTTTTGCTATTCCAACAAGATACTAGATATTTAATAATAATTTTTATTTAGTGGCCTTTGTAACTTTCGTGCATGATATATTGAAAATCAATATATCACAAGTAAATATCATATCGTAAGTACATATTTAAGAATCAATAATGTAGAATATATTATTTACTAATAATTTCTTAAACCAAGTACGCCATGTGCAGCGCACGTGTGGCATACTAGTTTGTATAAATATACATATATATGTTCACATTTTGTTGTCATGAAGAATTTTGTATGGGCATCAAGTTGTCTTATAAATCGTGAAATCAATGTTGAAAATAATGATAATGTATAACATAACTTACTCCTTGTGATTGTGTAAAGTGCAACATAACCTGACACGTGACATAAGTCAGGTGTTGGATTTTTTTAAAATTGTTAAAAAAATACTGACCATGAATTTATCTAACTATTTCATCTAATCAATCCAACTAATTTCTTTTTAAAAGAAGATAAACAATCATATTGGCAGTGCAAGATCTTTTCAGAATCAAGCTCATCATTGTCAGAATCAAACATCCATGTCCTCTTATTCGTCAGAATCAAACCTCGATGTCCTGGTCATTGTGAATTAACTTGTAGGTCCTTATCATCATTGGAATCATGTCGTGTGTCCTCGCTGTTGTCGGAATCAAGCTTCAGATTCTTGTGGTCAAGAGAAAAAAGTCTCAGGTCCTTGTATTTGTAAGAGTCAAGTTGTCGTCCAGGTCCTTGTCAGCATGGAAATCAGGTCTCAAATGTCACTTTGTCATCTCAATTCACAACAACCTTGACTTGCGGGGTTTTTTCTATGAGGGAAGCATTCGAGAATTAAATTGAATGGGTATGAGTGGGTCATATCATGGATTTTTAGTTAAAAATGAACCTCATATAGCACTGGTGCGAGACACTAAAGTAAGCATTTTGTAACACATTATGATGGCTATAGTGCAGTATTATGACTTATGAGAGCATTACATTATTTCTAAGCATTCTCTAAGGGATGATACTTTTTGTAATGCGATATCTCACGTCGTGAAACACGTCTATTTCTACTCTGGATAAGATGTTACGATAGCGGCCTGCTTGAGTACCATTTGGTACTGTAGTTGGATGCAAGTGATTCGTGCTAGGAGTTAAGTGCAGTATTGTCAATGCGCGAGGCGCAATGCGGGGCACAAAGCATCTTTACGCGCACATGCGCAAGACGCAACGCGATGCGCGCGCCCGTGTGATGCAAGGCGCACACTGCACACATAATTTTTCAATATATGTAATCAAGCGCGAAAGAACATGTTTTTAAAGTTTACATGAAAAATATCATGATAAATAATATCTTACTACAAAATCTCAATATAATGCCTTGATTTCTAATGCTAACACCCAACATAGTAGCAAAATTCATAAATTTTCAAATCAAATGTTAAATCAAGACTAACATCCAAGCAAAGTATTAGTAATGGTTCTCAATTGAAGACAATTAAAAATGCCTAATAGATTTATTTTGCTTCTTGGGATATGAAATATCAAGTATAAAGACTCGATTGAAATGTTAACAAATAATACTATATGAGGATATGTACTACATGCACACTGCACAAAGTAAGGATGTATACGAGGCGCAAAAAGTGCTGCTGCATCAGATGTGGGGCGCTTCGCCACTGCCCCGCATCGTAAGACGCATGAGGTGTAATGAGGCGCGCGCCTTTGAAAACACTGGTTAAGTGTATAGTTTATGGTAACATATCCAAGTCAATAGTGGATCATCTCATATTTGGATATTCCATTCCAGATTTTCACTGGAATACAGTATACCGTGATGCTTTGTCTCATACTTATAAAGAGGGATGTCCATGAACTGTTCTGCCCATATGGCATGTCAGGCTATGATTATATGTTATTTTGTGTGGCTAATTATTTTGCATACTCAGGAATCATGGCAATCGTCTTAGCCATCAGTTTCGTTTTTCAATGACATTTTCCCTTATAATTGTTGATTCAAAATTGGTTGCTATTGGTTTTTATTTTGATATTTGCAGCAAACTTGCGAAGAATGACTAGCTTTGAAGCCCTTCAGTCGGCAACAAAGTAAGAACATTGATAAATCCTGCACTGTATATATTTCTCATCTTAATAGCTCTTCATGTTGGACCTTTAAATTTTATTTCTGCTCCTTGCATGCATTAGTATCAACTGTATAACAAATAAGGACGGTTTTCTAAACTTCCCACTGATCTAGCTAGCATGTAAGCCATCTTATGTCCCTAGGAATTTGGCTGGGAATTTGCCTGTTTGGAGGGTTATTTAAAGTGTTGGCATTAAGCTGACAGTAGGCAATGAAATTGTTCTTTCATGGATTTATTATGTTCCATAGTCTGACTTCTTATATTTGTTTGGTAAAAGGAGAAAAATATGAATATAATCGTGATTCCTACTGCTTTGCTTCTAGATTTGTTGCCTTCTTTGGGCCAGGTGTTTTCAGATATTTTATTTTTATCGAACTTGGTGATTTTTGTAATAAGGTTTCTTGTCTTAAAGTGGATTGTGGTATCCATTTCGCTTTTAAGTTGTTTATCATCTTTTCAATATCAACATCTTAAGCAGGGCAGTGCTAAAGTAGTTTAAAGGTTGCCTCAGTCATGTTTTATTGTCATGAAATGAGCTAATATTTGTTATAGCTCAATATTAGAATCTTGATATCTAAGCTTGGCTTGACTTATGGTTATAGTTTTTGATTATATGTTGTTATAGGTCAATACTAGAATCTTAATATCTAAGGTTGGCTTGACTTATGGTTTAAATTTCTCGTTTAAATATTGTTTCTAGGTCAAAACTATAATATTTTTGATATGTGAAACTTTGGTGATGTTAAGTGCTTCTGAATCTGAAAATGAATGTATGTATGAATTGGAAAGTGCAAATAGTTTAGGTTATTGGTTGTTACCTACACTATCAATCATTGGGTATGCAGCTTATTCAAATAGAAAATCATTGATTTCTAAGTAAGAAAAGATCTAAAACTTATTTATTTGCAAAAGAATGTTAAACATTAGTCACGATATGCTACAGGATCAACGATGAAATACAAATTTTTCCCTTCTTTGAATTAAGAAGCTAACTTGGCACTTATTCAGATATATTGAACGAACCAGTTGTAAAACCACATGCTACATCGTGGCATGTGCACATATTAAGCCAATAATAAAAACAGCAGTTCTAGTATATTCTAATGAACCTGTCAAATTTCCTCTTTTTGACTCTGGGAAAATCATATGAAAACTGGGTAGTTTGAAGACAACTTTTTGCATGTGCATTGCTGCATCCGCTTGTCTACTTATATTTGCTTCCTTGCATGTGGTGTCACCAAGTTAGTCCGTGCAACCTTTACATTTGGCAGCACATCTTGGAAGCTGATTTCATGACTTATAATATTTCATACATATTTTACAAGACTAGCATTCATTTTAGCACTCTTAAATATAGGTGTCTTACTCAATTTGTATCTCCTTACTACTTATTTGGATGTGGCATTTCTTCTCATGGTTGTTTCTCAAATTCAAATTCACAATACTGAGAGGAAGGAGATTGTTCCTTGCAAGAGCAAAAAATACATTACATGATTCACGTCAGAGGGCTGGATGGATGTTCCAATTGTTTGAGATTGTTAGAAGGATGTATCTGCACACTTGTGCTCATGTAGAAATCAGTCAAGTATCTGTCGGTTTATACACACTGATATGAGCAGTTTGTACCCTGCTTATGAGAGGTACAAATGCGGATATATATTTAATATTTGTAGTAGACTAATTCATCACCTGCTCCGTCGTTATATTGTTATGTGGTTATTCTCTTGCTGCTGCACTGCTTATTTAGAATAAAACATGCCGTCTAATATCTAATTTACTGATTGTAGCTTTTCTTTCAAAATTTATTTGTTTTCTTTTCTCCAAAGAAGAATGATATACCTCATAGATAGGAACTGTTCTAATGTTGCATTAATGTTACATTTATTATTCTGTCACATGTATGCATTCTTCTAACATTCATGTAGCTCAGAAAATCAAATTTTTCATCCATGCTCGTGCTGATATTTATCTTTTTATAAGGGCTCTTCCTGCAGATTATGTTAGGCTCGATCAGGACATCTTGTCACCTCTTGCAGGGAAGAAAGAGCTTTACACATATGAGACTCGTGATTTCTGGGAGCAGATTAAAACCCCTGGGTGAGTGAATAACTATCTTTTGATTCTTTATTTCCCGCATCATTAAATGATAAAATAGCTAATATAACATTTATGTGACATCCAGGATGTCACTGAAGTGTTCTGAATTGTATCTCTCACAATATCGTCATACATCTCCTCATCTTCTAGCGAGGAGTAATGGCACAAAAGGTGCCACCATTATTGGTGATGTTTACATTCATCCATCAGCAAAAGTGCATCCAAGCGCAAAGGTAAATTTTCTCCGTTTTCCATCCAAGACTTTTCCTCGACAGCAACTTTTTCATAATTTTCGACTGCTTATAAAGTTTTTAGCACTTCAGTGGAACTTTTTAACATATAAAGTTCTGGTTATGTAATATGAATAAATAGAAGGGGATGGTTAGGTTGTAGTCAAGGAATTTCCATGTTTGAGTTATTGTCCCTTAGAGAATATGCATAAATTCGTAGCCGTTATGCATTGCTTGTGCATCGACGTGCATGTGATACGATTTATTGTTGTGTTAACATATAAACAGAAGTGAAATAACTATTGTATGTGTACTATTTCTTAACTTATGCAACTTGGCATAATGGCCAGTCGATCCGATTCTAATGCAATATTGAGGTGTAAACCTCTGTCAGATAGGGCCATTTTTCTTTCAAATAATTATGTATCAAACTTTACTTCTTATGACATGTGAGCCTTTGGCAGATATATCTGTTTTCCTTTCAAAATAGTCTTGTTTCGAACTTTACTTCTGGTCAACTCGTGCTATTAACTGATGTTGCTTTATTGAACAGATTGGCCCTAATGTCTCGATTTCTGCAAATGCTCGTATAGGAGCTGGTGTTAGACTCATCAGTTGCATTATTCTTGATGATGTTGAAATTAAGGTGTGGAATTTATTTTTGCATGTAGTGCATCCTCACTTCTACACCTTTGCAATACATGTTCTGATGAATCCCCCCCCCCCCCCCCCCCCCCCCCCCCCCCCCCCCACAAACGCTCTCTTTTCCTGACAGGAAAATGCAGAGTTGTCATTCATTCTATAGTAGGGTGGAAGTCTTCAATCGGAAAATGGTCACGTGTTCAGGCAAGCGTAGCTAATTTTTCAGTATAAATAGATTCATTCATTCTTACATTAAATTAGCAATATATAATTTGTGATACTGAACACATTTGGTTGTTTGTTTTGTACTCTGGATATCATAGTTACAATATTACCTGCAAAGTACATTTACATTATTTATATATTTCCATCTTAGATTTTAGATGCAACAATACCACAACCAACTGCTTTCTTTGATAGCCTTCCAGCCTGAGGTTTTAGTTTGTTACTGAAGACTGAAGTTGTCAGGTAGTTGTGTTTTAGCGCTTGGTATGCCTTTCTTTTTTAGGGAGGATGGTGAGAAGAAGTCCTTGAACAAAATAAGCTTGAAGCCTTGAACAAAACAAGAAGTCTTCACATTTCAACAGTCATGTAATTTTGTATTAATAAAAAGAAGCAATTAGTTCATAATATCATGATTCTGTACATTTATGAGTTACCAGAAAGTAGAAATAATAAATTGAGAAAGATTGCACATCAAACAATCAAGTGATCAACCATCTTGACAGTCAACCAACTCAACAAAAAAAAAAAAAAAACCACAAACCAACCATGAACAAACTTTAATAATAGCCTATTATTAATTAAAAAACAGTCCACTAACCAAACCTTAATAATTGCCTATTATTAATTAAAAATCAGTCCACATTTTTTACTGGCTTTCTACTTCAAGTGAGAAAAAAAGGGGAAAAGGAAAGAAATGGGAGCAGCAGCAACAGTTAATAGTTCAAGTGAGAAAAAAAAAGAAACAGGAGCAGCAGCAAGCATAGAGAACAGAGAAACCAGATCGAACTCAAGAAAAATAAAAAGAAAAAAGGGAAAAACCAAGCAGAGAAGGAAAAGGAAAAAAACAAACAAAAGCAAACGAGAAAAAAAGAGAGGAAGAAAATACCTTAGTTCCGATTTCCGATCGCTGCTTGCCGTTTTCTGCTCGCTGCCGCAGGGAGAACACCAAACACGAAGAGAAGGGGGGAGAGAACGAAGTGAATGAAGCCCTAAATCTTTTTTTGGGATCAGGCTAGAGTTGTTTTGGTTTAAGCTGGAGTCGGGTTTGTACCCAGTAGCCCACTTTTATATTAATCCAACCCAAACCTAATCGCCTCTTCTACTGAGGAGATCGCCCCGGCCCAAGGCGCCAAGCACTACGAGGCGCTCTCAGGTGCGTGCTTGGTGCAAGCGTAGCACCACGCACCTTATGTGGGGCGCTACGACATCATGCCGCAGTGCCTTGCACCCGAGGCGCGCCTGCGAGAGCACCTTTAAAAACACTGGGAAGCTGAAATGTGGACTACCACCTATGTTTTCTTAATTATGGACTTTATGAATTTGCTAACCCCAACACTGCCTCTTATCTCACTTGTGATTTTAGACCTTGTACTTCTCCACCTTTTTCACATATACGTGTAGACTATATGAATTTGTTAACCCCAACACTGCCTCCTATCTCACTTGTGATTTTGGACCTTGAACTTTTCTACCTTTTTCACATATACATGAATGTGTGCTATAATATTTATTAATGAAAAAAATCAACACTTTTATTCAGTTTTACAAATATTCTTCTTCATTTCGCCCTGCCAACTTGTACTTTTGTCAGCACTCTTTATAGTATGTTATGCTTGGGATGTGACTTGTTCCCAGGGAGGACAATCAGGTTGTATTTATAGGAAAATGAACATGTTTACAGTGTGGGACCAAACAAACTTCGTTAACTTCTTTTATATAGCGATTGATTTACAGATTCTATTACTTGGTGGCATCTTTGATTTCAACTCTTCCATGCAATCTATAAAACAATTACCCACCCCCACCCAACCTTGCATGCGCACTGAAACACCCGTCTTTCGTCCTCTTAGTGAGATGTGTCTCCTGGTTGAAACTGTGTAAAGATGGTGTACTTTACTCTTATATAGACTATAAAGGAATTCTGGCCTCAAAGTTCATGAAATAGTTGATAAGTTTGTAGATTAACCACCGCTAGCAATTTTTTCTAACAAGAATAGAAGAGAACCACTAGTGCAAGTTTTTTTTTTTAAGTTTGCAAATTTATTAATAAAGCCGAAGCTTTTGATGTTTTTTTTGCCTTCACTTGCCTTAAGCGTTTGGTGTGGAACTATGGCTCCCACAACCTATGTAGCATGGACACGGATCCGACACGGCCATCCGATACGCCGACACGAGGCAAATCCTAAAAAATACATAGGATACGTGTGTTCGACATTTGTGTCCGACACGGACACGACACGACACGGCTTCATGTTATGCGTGTCCGTGCTTCATAGCCCACAACTCTATTCCAATCATTTACCAGAGCTAGGCTTGAGGGCCCTTACTTTTCATTGATTTAAGGTAATTTGTTACTTACTTTGATTCCTAATCCAACTAATACGGAAAATGTTGGTACCGAACGTTTCATGATGTCGCGGATATTGCTTTTGACAAAAAGGTAAAACCTTAATGATTAAATTTCTTAAAATTTAAAGTGTACGTTGAATCTGTTACCTTACTTTACGTGGGCCCCTGACATGTTCACATGTTTGAGAGGTGTTTAAGATGTGCTGGAAACACTCTCAGGCTGATCCCAAATTATTAAAGCACTTCATTGTATCTACTTTTTGAAGCCGACACTTCTGCATGATTTCTTACTTTCTAACAATTGAAGGTTACACCTTATTGGACAATGTATCGGTGTGCCACAGTATCATTATACAGAGCCCTTTTAAGTGTCTGTACTACCCCTCTGAAGACCTCTCTTTGACTTTTTTTTTCTTTTACTTTCCATAACTAATACAATCTGTGAGAATGAAAAGCATGTAGAATCAGCAGCTCAGGTTTCAGACTGAGCGGGTGGCGGTCGACCGGCCCGGTCGACTGCATTCGTGCATAAGACTTACTGTGCGGCAGAGTTGGTGTCGGTTGACCGGGTCGGTCGACCGCAAATGTTTCTGTTTTGTGGTCAGTCGACCGGTGCGGTCGACCGACAAACTCTCTGGACTTTTGGGATTCTGCTGGGAGGAGTTCGGTCGACCGTGCCGGTCGACCGACGAAGCGGGTTTCAGTTGGGTTCTGTTTCCAGACCCGTTTCATTTGTGAGTTGTATTTAAACCCTAAACTCGTTTCTAGGGTTAAGCTTGGGCGATTTTGAGCTGCTGAAAGGGGATTTTGAGGGCTTTTATTGTTGGAGTCTATTGGAGAGATCTATTGGTCTTGTTCTAGGGTTTTGGGTAAGATTTGTAACCCTAATTTGTATTCCCCTTTGATTTGAATAGTAAAGCTTCCCCCTCCTTGCCCCGTGGACGTAGGCACATTGCCGAACCACGTATATCTTGTGTACTTGCTGTGATTGGTTGGCTTGTGTATATTTGTGGTCTACTATTGTTCTTGTGTGTGCCTTTGATTTGTCTATTTGGGGCTTCCGCGACGCACAACAAGTGGTATCAGAGCTCCGGGTTGGATTTGAGAGTTTTTGTTCAAAGGATTCATTGTTTGGGTTCTTGTTTGAAGGGTAGATCTACAATATGGTTGAAACAAGCAATGCTAGTTCAAGTGCTACTAGTACATCGGGGTCGGCTTTAACAAAGGCGATCCAAAATTTGAGCATCAATAACACTAAAATTGATGTCCCAAAGTTCGACGGCAAGATTAACTTTGGTTTATGGAGGTGTCAAGTAATGGACGCCTTAGATGCATAAAATTTAGAGGAGACTCTTGAGTTTCAAGAGAAACCCGAGGAGATTGATGATAGGGTTTGGAAGAAAATGAATAGTAGGGCTTGTGGGGTTATTCGGTTATGCCTAACGCCGGATCTCATTTATGATGTGATGAACGAGACGTCGGCAAAGAGATTGTGGGAAACGCTCAATGAAAAATATTTGACGAAGAGCATTGAGAATAGGCTTCATTTGAAGAAAGATTCTACCAATTCAAGATGAAGAGAGGAGTTTCCATTCGAGAGCATGTTAACAACTTCACAAAGCTAATTTCGGATATGGCCAATGTGGATATCATGGTGGAGGATGAAGACAAGGCGATGTTACTATTGTGTTCGTTGTCGGATGATGAATTTAGTATTTTTGTTCTCACTATGATAAATGGGCGAACCACAGTTAGCTACAAGGAGGTGACCTCGGCATTAGTGAATTATGAGCTGAGGAAGAACGATGGTGAGCCCTCCGAGAAGGCATCGGGTGATGCACTTGCAGTTCGTGGCCGTAGTCCAAACCGCCAAAAGTTCAACCGCTCAAAATCAAAGAATAGGGGTGGCCATAAAAGTGTTGGTAGAAATCAATGTGCCTTTTGCAAAGAAGAGGGACATTGGAAGAATGAGTGCCCAAAGTTGAAGGATAGAGCCGGGAAGCAAAGGGGGAAAGCTGTACAAGCTTCAGAGGTTAATGTTGCTAAGGTTGTTGGCGACATTTTAGATTCAGATTCTTCTAGTTATTCTTGTCCCGCACTGCCGTCAGTTTGTTATGCCGACTCTACGGAGTGGATGCTTGATTCGGGAGCTACATTTCATATTTGCCCTAAGAGGGATTGGTTTACCAACTTTGAGTTGAAGAGAGGAGACGTGGTGCTCATGGGGAACGATCACGTTTGTCCTATTAGTGGGATTGGCTCAGTCAGAATCAGAATGCATGACGGGGTGACTAGGGAATTGAAAGATGTGAGGTTTGTGCCGCAGTTGACGAAGAACCTAATTTCTCTTGGGACTTTGGAGGCATCCGGTTATAGAGTGATCTTAGAAGATGCTAGTTTGAAGGTCATGAAGGGTTCTATGGTGGTGATGCGAGGTGTCAGGGAAAACAACCTATACTACTTGAAGGGCAAGACAGTTACAGGGGGTCTGGTAGCTTCTATTACCACAGAGGAGAACACTACCACACTATGGCACATGAGGCTTGGACACACAGGTGAAAAGTCCCTTCAGTCATTGGCAAAACAGGGGCTATTGAAAGGTGTAAAGACCTGCAAGATGGATTTGTGTGAGCATTGCATACTTGAGAAGAAGACTAAAGTGAAGTTTGGCACCGTAATTCATAACACCCAAGGTATATTAGACTACATTCACACAGATGTTTGGGGCCCTTCTAAGCACACATCACTTGGTGGGGCAAATTATTTCGTCACTTTCATTGATGATTATTCCAGGAGGAATTGGGTATATACCATGAAGCATAAACATGAGGTCCTGGATATATTTGTGGAGTGGAAGAAGAAAGTGGAGCTGCAGACAGGTAGAAAGGTGAAGACTCTTCGTTCAGACAATGGTGGAGAGTACAAGAGTGATCCATTTCTGCAGTTTTATCGGGATCATGGCATTAGAAGACACTTCACAGTTAGAGAGACACCGCAACAGAATGGGGTGGCAGAGAGGCTAAACCGTACCTTGCTGGAGAAGGTGCGATGTATGATGACGCAGAGTGGATTGGCTAGATCTTTTTGGGCCGAGGCGTTAGTTTATGCGAGCCATCTCATTAACAGGTTGCCGTGCACTGCGATAGAGGGGAAGACTCCTATGGAGCGCTGGTCTGGTTCTGTGGCTAGTGATTATGATACTCTTCGGATATTTGGGTGTCCAGCTTATTTCCATGTTAGTGATGGGAAGTTGAATCCGAGAGCGAGGAAGGCTATCTTTGTGGGATTTAGAGAAGGTGTAAAAGGCTTCAAATTATGGGATCCACAAGACAAGAAGATGATCATTAGCAGAGATGTCACATTCGATGAGGCGTACATGATGAAGCCTCGAGTTCCTCAGCAGGTGGAGGAAGATCAGACAAGAGGGATATCATAGCAGGTAGAGGATGATGTGACTCCATCCACTCCAGACAACACTGTGTCCATTGAGATTCCTACAGAGGTGACACTGGAAGGAGTTGAGATGACAGTCGAGCATTTGGAGGATACAGTGGAGGCTCAGGAGCAGGGTCATGCTCAAGGGTCCATTGCAGCAGATAGACCGAGGAGAGAGATTCGTCGGCCAGCTAAATATGATGATGTCATGGTGGCATATGCTTTATCTGTGGAGGTCGTTGATGATCTTATTCCTGCCACATTCAGGGAGGCAGAGTCCAGCCCTGATTCCATTAGGTGGGGGAATGCTATGGAGGAGGAGATGCAATCTCTTCAGAAGAACGACACTTGGGAACTTGCACAGCTACCTAAGGGTAAGAAAGCTATTGGTTGCAAGTGGGTGTATGCTAAGAAGGAGGGACCTTCTATTGGGGACATTTGGTTCAATGCCAGATTGGTTGCCAAGGGATATGCACAGCTTGAAGGTGTTGATTACAACGAGGTGTTTTCACCCGTTGTGAAGCATTCGTCGATTCAGATACTATTGGTATTGGTGGCACAGCTGGACTTAGATTTGGTCCAAATGGACGTGAAGACGGCCTTTCTACATGGAGACTTAGACGAGGAGATCTATATGACACAACCTATGGGGTTTAAAGCTGCAGGAAGGGAAAATTTGGTGTGCAAATTGAGGAAATCTCTTTATGGACTGAAGCAATCACCGCGACAGTGGTACAAGAGATTTGATAGCTTTATGATTGGCCGAGGGTACACGAGGAGCCCTTATGACCCGTGTGTTTATATGCGCAAGCTACAGGATGGTGAGCATATTTATTTGTTATTGTATGTTGATGATATGCTCATAGCTTCCAGGAACACTTCAGCTATTGGGAAATTGAAAAAGGAGCTGTCATCTGAATTTGAGATGAAGGACCTGGGAGAGGCTAAGAAGATATTGGGTATGGAGATTGAGCGAGACAGGGTGAAGGGGAGATTGAAGCTTACACAGAAGAGTTACTTGTAGAAGATGCTGAAGAAATTCAGTTTTGAGGGTAATACCAAGGTGGTGAGTACTCCATTAGCTCCCCACTTTAAGCTTTCAGCTTTGATGTCACCAGTTTCAGTGGAGGATAGGGACTACATGTCCAAGGTTCCATACGCTAGCGCAGTAGGTAGCTTGATGTATGCTATGGTGTGTACTAGGTCAGATTTGTCACAGGCCGTGAGCATGGTATCTAGGTACATGCACAACCCCGGGAAGGGGCATTGGGAGGCCGTGAAGTGGATTCTACGGTATATTAAGGGTACCGTGGATGTTGGGTTGATATTTGCAAAGAATGATGAGACAGGGCAGGATTGTATTGGTTACGTGGATTCAGACTATGCCGGAGATCTTGACAAGCGTCGGTCCACTACAGGTTATGTTTTTACATTGGCTAGTGCACCGATGTGTTGGAGGTGTACTCTTCAGTCTACAGTGTCGCTCTCTACTACGGAGGCGGAATATATGACGGTGACTGAAGCAGTAAAGGAGGCTTTGTGGCTACATGGCTTGTTGGATGATTTGGGGATTGCACATGAGACCATTCAGGTACATTGTGATAGTATGTCAGCTATCTATTTGGCTAAGAACCAAGTCTACCATGCACGCACGAAGCACATTGATGTCAGATTTCACTTTGTACGTGATGTATTGGATGATGGTGATGTCACGTTGGAGAAGGTCCACACTAAGGACAATCCTGCTGATATGTTGACCAAAGTCGTGCCAGGTGTGAAGTTTGGTCACTGTTTGAAATTGTTGAATATTCTTCATTGTTGAGGCCGTTGGCGGCCATTTGGATGAACTACGTTTGGCTTAATTCCTTGGGCAAGAGGATACGTAGGCAGTCTTGCAGATGCAGCCGGTTAAGTTGATTTGGGGTGCTTTTTGGTGTCGGCTCAGTTTTGGCAAAAGTTCGCCGAAGTGAAGATTTGTAGAATCAGCAGCAGAGGACGACAGATTCAGTGTTCAGGCTCAGGTTTCAGACTGAGCGGGTGGCGGTCGACCGGTCCGGTCGACCGCATTCGTGCACAAGGCTTACCGTGCGGCAGAGTTGGTGTCGGTCGACCGGGCTGGTCGGCCGCAGATGTTTCTGTTTTGTGGTCGGTCGACCGGTGCGGTCGACCGACAAACTCTCTGGACTTTTGGGATTCTGCTGGGAGGAGTTCGGTCGACCGTGCCGGTCGACCGACGAAGCGGGTTTCAGTTGGGTTCTGTTTCCAGACCCGTTTCGTTTGTGAGTTGTATTTAAACCCTAAACTCATTTCTAGGGTTAAGCTTGGGCGATTTTGAGCTGCTGAAAGGGGATTTTGAGGGCTTCTATTGTTGGAGTCTATTGGAGAGATCTATTGGTCTTGTTCTAGGGTTTTGGGTAAGATTTGTAACCCTAATTTGTATTCCCCTTTGATTTGAATAGTAAAGCTTCCCCCTCCTTGCCCCGTGGACGTAGGCACATTGCCGAACCACGTATATCTTGTGTACTTGCTGTGATTGGTTGGCTTGTGTATATTTGTGGTCTACTATTGTTCTTGTGTGTGCCTTTGATTTGTCTATTTGGGGCTTCCGCGGCGCACAACAAAGCAAATGTTGAAAAAACAAAGATGTTGCATGAATTATACTTGTCTAGCTTTTAACTAATTGTATGAGTTACGTGGTTTACTTTGCATGTGACCATAATTTCAGATTTACTTTTAAGATACAAATGTGGTTCCTTATGGCTCTTGCAATTTTCTATTGTACATCAGGGTGAAGGGGACTATAACGCCAAGCTTGGGATTACTATTTTAGGTACTTAAAATCAAGACATTTTTATCTTTTCCATTTTCATGTACTACTTGTCTTCTAATATTCCAAGGTGAGATTCCAGAACGCTTTACTGACAATTTAGATATCATGTATGCAGGAGAAGCTGTCGGTGTAGAAGATGAAGTGGTGGTGATCAACAGCATCGTCCTCCCTAATAAAACCCTAAATGTCAGTGTACAGGAGGAAATAATCCTATAAAAGTCTGCAATTAGTCCCCAATAAGGCCTACCCATATTTTGGATGGAGACCCATTTTTTCTGTATGTGGTATTGTGCTTTTTTTTTTTGAAGTTATGAACTGCTTTTTGCTATGTAAGTTGTATTTATTATTAGTTCAATACAAGACTGTAAATTATACGCTTAACTTTAGTTTCGAGTTCTGATGAGATTGCTGCAGTGACTCTACCGTGTCCACTATATGTTTACAGCAAGCGCGTCCTAATCAGGCCAAAGTTCCCTTTCTTTACATCATGAGGGTGCGGAGGATATCGTACTCTTGCACTTGCTAGTTTTTTTTTTCATGATCCTGACCAGTCCATATTGTGTATACATTGGAATCGTTTATTTAAAGAGGTATGTTCCTTTGGACATTGCCGTTGGACAGTGAAATATGTATGGCAATTATCGAGAAAAAAAATGAACGATGATTTAATATTTTGTGTTGAACGCAGTATAAAGTGGTTTGATTAGCAAATAAAAAACCTTCAGGCTAGTGCCGGCTACGAAGCATAAGTGTGGATTACTTTTATACTTTTATCCATAATAAGGTGCCGGCTGCGAAGCATGAGTGCGGATTACTTTTATCCATAATAAGGTGTGGAGATAACTCTTATCCGTAATAAGATGTGGAGATAACTCGTGGGGAAATAATAATAATAAAATAAAATAATAATAATAATGAAGTGGTTTGATTATTTAAAGTTGATCGTATGACCTGTGAATTGATCTATGTGAATAAAAAGGTGTAGCTCATCTGATTTAGACCCTTAAGATTTTCATAAATTTTTTTAACTATCAAATCTTTGCCTAGTTTCCGCAAATGTGCCAAGTTTTCTGATACGTTTACCCACCTTAAAGCTTCATCAGTATTCTTTTAGATGAGCCCATATAATTACTGGGCTCTTCATCAGTATTCTCTTAACGAGCCGATATACTTACTGGGCTCTTCATCACCATTCTTTTACCACTCCTTTGCTCTAGGAAAACAGTAACAACCAAGTTTTCTTCCTTTATTATCTCAATTTTCTTGCCTTTCTATCTCGAGTCTAAATTTCCTTTCTTCCCTCAAACTCACATGCACTCGGCTGATATTGACCAGTGAACCCTCAAAAGGTAATCAATGCAAGTAGGAGACTTTATTGAAGAAGTTGCGGTTTGTAATGGTGGTTTTTCATACAAACCATCTTAAAAAATAGGGTAATTATATAAGAACTAACTTTTGAATTTCAATTTATACGTAAACCATCTTTAAAGTGAGGTTGTGTTGCAATCAACCGCCTCCCCTTAAATTTTTCATTGAAAAGCAAAAAGTAACCTTACAAAATTCATATTTGAGATACGTTACTTGTAACTAAGCTAAACCTAAATGTGAACAAAAGCATCATGTGCCTTGAATATGAGTTTTTTAAGAGCACTTTTATGTAATTAGTGAAAATTTTTAAGTAAGAGGTGGTTGATCGCAACGCGAACCTACTTTAAATGTAGTTTGTGTACAAATTGAAGTTAAAGGTGGTTTCTATAGAATTACTCTACTTTCAGGCAGTTACCAAGTATGAAATACAACAAGTTATGTGAGCTAGGATAAGCAATATGAACAAGGGATATATCCTAGCAATGAGATATACTATGAGTTATATACAAGGATATGAAACTAAGGGTGATATAAACATAAACAAGATAAACAAGATAGTGGATAATATGAACTAAGAGCAAATGACAAAGGCGATATAAACAATAGGCATGAATGTAAAAGAACGCCAATGACAAACTCAAACACCCGATATGATCACGGAGTTCGGACCTTCCGTCCTACGTCTCCGCTCCCCTCTCCCGAGGAGAAATCCACTATCACAACCGGGTTTTCTACGCTCACCCGAATAACGTTTACAACCACACTATGTCGGTTTTCAACAATCACCGATCAACGTATACACTCACTCACAATGTCGGTTTTTAACGTTCACCGATCAACGTCCATTCCTCACACTCGGTTTTCTAGCTAACCGAAAACTTTACAATCTTACAAAGATAACAAATGATTTGTTCTCTAATACAATGCGAGAACTCAATTAAAGCTCAACTCAATGTTACAATTTCTCACAACCCTAATATACTATGTATGTAAATACTAAAAGCTCATGTGGGTGTGTGTAACAATGAGAATAAATAAAACAACTAAACTCAAAATAAAATCTAGCATATAGAAATTATGAATAAAACAATAAATAGCTAGAAATAGAGTTTAGGAACTCTTCTCTGAAAAACAAGATGGAGAGATGAATTAAAAGGAAGCTCAAACAATGTAGATGATCCCCTCCACTTGTGAACCAACCAAAACAGCTTTAAACCAAACTTAAACCCCCTGTTAAAACTTTTATAAACTTGTTTAAAACATCTCATTGGTTTTTGAGAAAGAAGGGGGTTTGGGGGTTTATATAGGAAGAGGAAGCAACAGTAAAAACCCCAAAGGAAAAGGTCAAACAGCCTAAGAATCAGAAATCTGATTCTGTACCAAAAGAGCCGTTGGGATAAACGACGGTCAACCGCGACGGTCGACCGCGAGCAACGAAAACAACAGGAAAAGCTCCAGAGACTTCGGCGGTTGACCGTGGCGGTCGACTGTGGGAAATCACGAGCTCACGGTCGACTGCGGCGGTCGATCGTGAAAGTCTCTGATGCCCACTGACGAAAGAACTCAGGCACGGTCGACCGTGGCGGTCGATGATAAACACAAATATTCTCTATAATTTGACTATGTTTCACCTATGGATTTGTTGTTATTTGATGTATTTCCTTGCACTTTTGCCCTGTTAAGCTCCCTAGTTTTTGTTTACTGCTCTATTTATATATTGTGTAGGAATTACTGGAGTTTAGCACGGATTCGGAGTCAAGAAGGAGTCAAGGAATGCAAGGAAAGTGGCTACACGGTCACCCAGTGTTCAACAACACAGGCGTGTTGATTACAGAAGAAAAGCCCAGAAAGCAGAGCGAAACAGAGTTAAACATGGCCTGGTCATGTCGATCTGCACAGCCGTGTTGGATGACAACAGTCAGTTATCATGCGATCTGGAGCAATATTTGAAGTTATCTTTCAACACGTTTTTCCCAGAATTAAAAGGGAGATGCCCTAAAGCACCTGAGCAGAGAACCGAAGGCTGGAGATCTTGATTTTTCTTTCTTCTTCTTCTCTTCTTCTTTCTAAAAACTCTTAGATTAGGTTTTCTTTTGATTTGGAACCTGCTGTTTGTGGAGAATTGTGTGCAACTTCAACACTACGGTTTATCTTTCTGATCTATCTCAATTTCTAGTTTATGATTATGATCTTATATATTGTTATCATGTTTTCTATGTCAATTATGTGTGAGTAATTGTCTTATCTGGGATTGAACTAGGTTCGGCCATGGTTATGAATTAATGAACTGATTGTTGTTGTTATTGATTGTTCGATTTGCATTATTCAGTTACTAGTATCTAATTGCCTAGGGTTAATTCAATTGGCCACTGATTTAATTCTTTTAGGATGTTGATTTGAACTGAAAGATTAGATTAACGCCGGAAAATAGTAATTGAACAAGAATTAATTGATCATGAAAGTAGGTTAATATTCTTGAGAACATGAGGGATTAACAAGAACTTAATGGGTTTAATTTGGTTTAACACCATGAAAATAGGTTGTTAGGCTGAATTAGGCACGACTTTTAGTCGTCGAAAGAGACTAATAGTGATCATAGGTTAGTCGTTCTTAATGCATTGAGAGATTCGATAACAATTGATTAATTTGTTGATTCGAACTAGAGTTGAAACCGAAGTTCAATCCTAGATCCTTTTAATTGAGTGAATTCGTCGTTGATACTAGCTAGCGTATTCGTTATTGATAATCAAAAATCATACTTTTTAACACAATTGGTTTAGATAGTTACAAAACAGTGAAAATCAGTAATTAACAACGAAGTCCCTGAGGATACGACCTTGCATCGCTACAACGATATCCGTGCACTTGCGGATTTGAGTGAACAAGTTTTTGGCGCCGTTGCCGGGGACTTCGGCATTGTTAATATTGACTTTTTCATTGTTTGACTAGACTAGACATTTTCTTTCATTTATTTTATTTTTATTTTTATTTTTATTTTTATTTTTTTTCGTTTGACTTATTCTTTTTTTAGTGCAGGCATTCTTGTATGCCCAGATCCTTACGACTTGGAGAACCAATCCAGTGTGATCCCGAGATTGAAAGGACCTTGCGTCATATTAGGAAGAAGGCACGAGAAACAAAGGACAATTTGAAAAGTAAAAGCACCATGGGAGACCAAGAAAACCAAGGCAATCAAGACCGATCCTTGAAGGAGTTTGCATCACCAACCACTCATAGCTCTCAATCTAGCATCTTGAAGCCTAATGTTGCTGCCAACAATTTTGAACTCAAGCCTTCACTCCTCTCCATGGTTCAGCAAAACCAATTTGGAGGCACTCCAACCGAAGACCCAAACCTCCACATCTCAATCTTTCTGGAGTATTGTGACACATTGAAGATGAATGGAGTGTCGGATGATGCAATCAAGCTAAGGTTGTTTCCCTTTTTACTAAGAGACAAGGCAAGGGCTTGGCTGCAATCACTTCCACCGGGCTCCATCACTACATGGGACCAACTCTCAGAAGCGTTCCTTGCTAAGTACTTCCCTCCGAGCAAAACAGCCCAATTGAGAAATCAGATAACAACCTTCACTCAAAAAGAAGGGGAGTCATTGTACGATGCATGTGAGAGGTACAAGGATCTTCTAAGGATGTGTCCACATCACGGGTTGGAGGATTGACTCATAATTCACACTTTCTACAACGGTCTTCTCTACAACACAAGGATGACCGTAGATGCTGCAGCGGGTGGTGCATTGATGAACAAAAGTGTACGAGATACAAAACAACTCATAGAAGATATGACACAGAACCATTTCCAATGGTCAGGTGAGCGCTCTTTACCCAGAAAGAGCGGGAGGTATGATGTAGATGCATTAGACCATATTGCTTCTAGAGTAGATGCTTTATTTCAAAAATTTGACAAGATGAGCATGAATTCCGTAGCATCTAACTCTACTAACTGTGAAATATGTGGTATCATTGGACATTCTGCTGTGGAATGTCAGATTGGAAACTCCCCTTCCCCTGATGCACCATTATCTGAACATGTTAATTATATGAATAATTTTAATCAGAAAGGGGACCCTTTTCTAATACATACAACCCGGGGTGGAGAAATCATCCTAATTTATCCTATAAAAATCCACCCCTGAACCCGATTCCTCACTCAAATTTTCGACCTCCAGGTTTTCAAACCCCTAGACTCCCTTACCCTAGTCCCCAAAAGTCCAACTTAGAAAGTTTGATGGAAAATTTCGTGACATCCCAGAATAAGCAAAATGAAGAATTTAGAAATCAGAATAGGATCATGAATGATGCCATTAAGAACCTAGCCTCTAAAGTTGACTCCGTAGCCACCCACAACAAAATGCTAGAGAATCAGGTCACTCAACTAGCCCAACAATTTAACTCTTCTTCTAGGTCTTTGGGTATGTTTCCTGGACAACCTGAAACCAACCCCAATGAATCTATCAATGCCATTACACTTAGGAGTGGAAAAGAGCTAGAGACACCAATGATGAGGAGTGATCATAGGGATGTGGGTGATGAGAGTGAGAAGTTGGTGACAAGTGAGAAAGAGCATATTGGTGAGAAAGGGGAGAAGGTTGAGAGATATGTAGCACCTGCACCTTATAAGCCTCCACTACCCTTCCCTCAAATGCAAGTTAAAGCTAAGTTGGAAAAACAGTTTGGGAAATTCATAGAAATATTAAAAAAAATTGCATATTAACATCCCATTTGTTGAAGCCATTTCCCAAATGCCATCCTATGCCAAATTCTTAAAGGAGATTCTATCAAATAAGAGGCGATTAGAGGAATATGAGACTGTAGCCTTGACCCAAGAGTGTAGTGACATCATACAAAATAAGCTACCACCTAAGCTTAAAGATCCTGGCTCATTTTCAATCCCTTGCACAATTGGTGATATGTCAATTAATCGTGCTCTATGTGATCTCGGTGCTAGTGTCAGTCTTATGCCATTGTCTATATGTAACAAGTTACAGATGGGAGACTTGAAGCCTACTACTATCTCCCTCCAATTGGCGGATCGATCGGTTAAACGTCCGGTAGGTATATTAGAGGATGTACCCATCCAGGTTGGTAAATTCTTTATTCCAGTTGATTTTGTTATTCTTGAAATGGAGGAGGATTCTCAAATCCCCATGATATTGGGAAGACCTTTCCTTGCTACCGTTGGAGCGATAATTGATGTGAAGAATGAAAAGCTCTCTCTCAATATAGGGGATAAAAAGGTGAATTTTGATTTGTTTTCTGCTATGAAGTTTCTACTAATTGATGATACTTGTTGCAGGATTGACACGATTGACATGTTGGTTAGAGAAGATTTTACCAGAGATATCTCAAGTGATCCACTTGAGAAATGTTCAGTAAAGAATGGGGTACCAGATGATGATGATCAGGAAATAACTTCCTATGTTACAATGCTTGATGAAAAGCCAACCTACACCAAAACCACCTACATCAAAGAACCTGATATAGTGGTCGAAATTGCAAGGGGGCTGAATGACCAGGTTGTGTCTGTAAACACAGCTGTGTCAAAAAGCAGCAGAAACAGCCCAGAACAAGTTTGTGAAGAGAAAACTGCACCTGGGAAGATGCTAAATAATGATTCCACATGGCCATGGTGTGTCCGTAGACACAGTCGTGTCAAAAAGAAGCAGAAGAAGTCTAGAACCAGTCCATCTCCACCAGTTGAAGTGGAACATAAGGCACATTGGGCTATCAAGAGTATTCATTTAGATTTGAAAGAATCAGGGGAACAGAGAAAGCTTCAACCAAATGAACTTGATGAATTGAGATTGGATGCGTATGAGACTGCCAAGATTTACAAAGAAAGAACAATGAAGTGGCATGATTAACATATCCTCCGTAAAGAGTTTACAGAAGGAGACTTGATACTTCTACTTAATTCCCGACTCAAGCTTTTTCCGGGCAAACTTTGTTCGAGGTGGTCTGGACCATTCCAAGTGTGCAAGATATACCCATTTAGGGCTGTCGAAGTATGGAGTGAAGCCACGGGATCTTTCAAGGTCAATGGACAGCGATTAAAGCATTATTTCATAGGAACTCTGATCGAGAAGTTGGGTACTTTTACCCTTCCCGATTCATCATCATTGTGAGCATTGAAGGGGTCAAGCTCATGACCATAAACAAGCGCTTCTTGGGAGGCAACCCAAGTTTTTCTTTCATTTTATTTTTCCTTTTAGTGTTTTAATTAATTAGTTTTCATACATGTAATCAGGTTGCCGTGAATTGGTGTGTAGGTGAATGACAAAGGGAAAATAGGTAATTGAGAAAACAACCGCATCCCTTCCTTTCACCACCCCAAACCACTGTACTCTTTCATCCTTCACCATCAAAATCGCCTACTAACTACTTCCCCAAAACCACTTCCCTCCCCAACTTTGATTCCACCACTCAACACTTCCGCCTCTCTCTCTCATTCATCACATCCAACACCACCAAACCGCCAGGCGTGCCTCCAGCGCCAAGACACCGCCCTTGTCGTTACGGCCAGAGCAACGCCAACATTCATAGACCAAATTCTTTCATTCAACATCTGAAACTTCCAGATCTGTTCTCATCATGGACACCCGCTTGGACAATTTTGTCAATACACTTGGAACAATGAATGACCAGACGCAACATATGCACCAATGGTCCCTACTTCATGTCTATCCACCTCCTCCACCACCACAATGAGCAGTAAGTCCCTTTTCTTTTTCTTTTTCTTTTCAGTTATTTACACATTGGGGACAATGTGCAATTCAAGCATGGGGGAGTGGGTTTGTTGGGATGATGTTTAATGTATGCTTTGGTGTTTTTGAGTGCTTGTTTTCTGTGTTGGGATTTTTCATTTAGCTTTTAAAAAAAAGGGGGGAAGAGAAGAAAAAAAAAGAGAAAATGAGTACCTCTGTTCAGCAAAACCTTTTAGCACGTACATCATTTATTTCACATGCCCCATTGTAAAAAAAAAATCTTTGTTTCATGTTCAGTTGGTTAGGATGTTATCTGTTCGAGTTCCACTTTGTCGATACTTAACTCTAAACATTGGAGAGATAGGAATGGATTTTGGCTCAACCCATCTAATTAAAACCTAAGCTTCTTTGGTGACTTGGAATACTTTTTGGTTACTGGAGAAACACTCGGCCTTGTATAAAAAAAATTCCTAAAGTCTGTTGCACCGAGTACCTGGCACCGCACCCTCAGAAGTATGGCTGTCACGTCAGTAGGTGTTAATTATGACGGGATTTTCAAAAAAAAAAAATTGAATAAAATGCAAAGAAACCGAGTGCTCCTTTGAGACCTTAAGTAGGAAGAGTATGACCCATTGTGATGAGATATGTGTCTGTCACAAGGAGTTTTGGGCAATTAACTAAATTTTTTTTTTTAAACTTTGTCATGACATTTCTCTTTCCAACGTTTATGAGTTGAGTCACTTGCACTAACGTACGTGAATGCCTACAGATACATTTTCTTCAACTTTGAACTTGAGACAAGATTTCTGTTTTGACATTGGGCTGAGTGGAATAATGTTGCATGTGAACTTGAGAATAGTGGATACCTTTGTGCTTAATTTCTATTTTCTTTGAATCTGTACCCTCTCATCTGTGTGTTTCCATCTGTTTTGCTTGAGGACAAGCAATAGTTCAAGCATGGGGGAGTTGATAAAAACAAATATTCTCTATAATTTGACTATGTTTCACCTATGGATTTGTTGTTATTTGATGTATTTCCTTACACTTTTGCCCTGTTAAGCTCCCTAGTTCTTGTTTACTGCTCTATTTATATATTGTGTAGGAATTACTAGAGTTTAGCGCGGATTCGGAGTCAAGAAGGAGTCAAGGAATGCAAGGAAAGTGGCTACACGGTCACCCAGTGTTCAACAACACAGGCGTGTTGATTACAGAAGAAAAGCCCAGAAAGCAGAGTGAAATAGAGTTAAACACGGCCTGGTCGTGTCGATCTGCACAGCCGTGTTGGATGACAGCAGTCAGTTATCATGCGATCTGGAGCAATATTTGAAGTTATCTTTCAACACGTTTTCCCAGAATTAAAAGGGAGACGCCCTGAAGCACCTGAGCAAAGACCCCGGAGGCTGGAGATCTTGATTTTTCTTTCTTCTTCTTATCTTCTTCTCTCTAAAAACTCTTAGATTAGGTTTTCTTTTGATTTGGAACCTGCTGTTTGTGGAGAATTGTGTGCAACTTCAACACTACGGTTTATCTTTCTGATCTATCTCAATTTCTAGTTTATGATTATGATCTTATATATTGTTATCATGTTTTCTATTTCAATTATGTGTGAGTAATTGTCTTATCTGGGATTGAACTAGGTTCGGCCATGGTTATGAATTAATGAACTGATTGTTGTTGTTATTGATTGTTCGATTTGCATTATTCAGTTACTAGTATCTAATTGCCTAGGGTTAATTTAATTGGCCACTGATTTAATTCTTTTAGGATGTTGATTTGAACTGAAAGGTTAGATTAACGCCGGAAAATAGTAATTGAACAAGAATTAATTGATCATGAAAGTAGGTTAATATTCTTGAGAACATGAGGGATTAACAAGAACTTAATGGGTTTAATTTGGTTTAACACCATAAAAATAGGTTGTTAGGCTGAATTAGGCACGACTTTTAGTCGTCGAAAGAGACTAATAGTTATCATAGGTTAGTCGTTCTTAATGCATTGAGAGATTCGATAACAATTGATTAATTTATTGATTCGAACCAGAGTTGAAACCGAAGTTCAATCCTAGATCCTTTTAATTGAGTGAATTCGTCGTTGATACTAGCTAGCGTGTTCGTTATTGATAATCAAAAATCATACTTTTTAACACAATTGGTTTAGATAGTTACAAAACAGTGAAAATCAGTAATTAACAACGAAGTCCCTGAGGATACGACCTTGCATCGCTACAACGATATCCGTGCACTTGCGGATTTGAGTGAACAGTCGACCGTGAACTGATATATGAAATTCCATGTTTTGAAAATAGTTTGCTGATTTTAAAACACTGTTTAAAAATATCAAATAAATTCAGAAAAATGTAAAACTTTGGGGAATGATTGCAGACATGATAATAAACATGCTACAAAGATTGGTTTGCAAAAGGACTTCCCAAATGTAAATATCATCATTTTATAAAATAGTCCAAAACATAAAAATGTAAACATATGAGTTTTGACATTTTAGCTTAACTATGTTTTGAAACATTACAAAATGATTTTGTAGACTTAATAAAAGATGTATATGATTATTGTTAAGTCTATAAACCAAGAAAACAATATTTTTACAAATACAATAGAAAATGAAACATATGAGTATGTATATGAAAATATATTTGTTTCATATCTATGAAATTAAACCAAAACAACTTATCCAGATAGAAAACAAACATGTATACATATTTTTTGGAATTTATTTGTAAAAACTTTGTTTGTGGATAAAACTAAACACCAAGATGTATATGTATATAACTATATATATATACATAGAAACCAATAAAAAGTGTGTGTGTATGATTGAGCTTAGAGTACTAACACACGTAATATAAAACCTAAACTAAATTACCCAAACTTGATGAAGGTCTTCAATGAGCTCAAATTGGTAAACTTGGATGAAGCTTGTAATTGGATCTTTAACTTGATAGCAAGGCTTCACCTACTATTCCGCCAACCTCCATTGGATATTATCGTTGAAGCACAATCCATCCAACATCCAACTCGTTGTTTGCCTAGAATAAATACGAAAACACAAATACTAGACAAATAACATTAGAAGTAAATTGTTTGTTAAACATCATCAAAACAAGAAGGCCAACAATCTCCCCCTTTTTGATGATGACAAACAATTTACAAAAAGGATATATGCATGAAAGGAAATGAATATACAAAGTATAATATATCATGCATATAAACAAAAAGAATATACTCATAATATTTTCCCCCCTTTGACAACATCAAAAAGGGGACAAAAGAATGAAGAGAGCGAAAGTTCTCCCTATCAATATGCATAGGTGAGTATAAAACAAGTATAGGGATTAGCTCCCCCTATCAAAATGTCATATAAAAAATATGCAATAAAGATCAAGGCAAAACATGTGAGCAAGCATAGATAAGAGCATGCTAAAAATTTACTCACATACATTAAGATAATGAGAACACATGTGGATGCATCAAAATAAAAATAGTGTCTCATTAACACAACAATAAAAACATAGTGTATAAAGATAGATCTATGAAATCAAAAGAAGGGAAAACAAATCACTCAAATGAAATCATAAATCAAGATTTAAATCCAAAAACGATGTTTGATCAATAAAGAAAACTTTCTTTTAAGAACCTAATCAAACCACTCATAGAATGCATTACAAGGCACGAATAGATGATTCATAAGCACAAACACATAAATATCATTATATAAGTGAAATATAATGAAATCAAAGCAATAATTCAAAACAAAATCTTTAATAAAAGAATTTCAAGAGAGGCAACAATATATCAAGCTCTTAAGCTTGTTCCAACCCATATAATCATTCTAGCATCCGGTAAACATGATTTGGGAATAAACACCCAATAAACCCGGAGGGTATATAACTATAAACCTTTCATTTAAAATCAAAACTAATAATCATGAAAACAAAAGATTTGATCAAAGAAATTTTTTTCATAACCAAAAGATTTTAAAAACATAATTTTCAAAACCAAGAAAAGAAAAAAGAAAAACACTAAAATACTTGGTTTTAAAAATTAAATTTGTTTTGGTACCCAAGAATTCTTGGTACCAAGAGATTTAGGGACATGACTCCTATCTTTTAAGCTCAAAGCCCTAGGGTTATGAACCCTCTTGGG